CTTTGTGGATATTAACCCCTATCAGAGATAGGGCTTGCAAAGATTTTCTCCCATTCAGTAGTCTGCTTCTCCACGTAGTTGATGGTTTCTCCTTTTCTTATTTCAAATTAACTATCATTACATGCTTCAAAGACCAATGAGGAAGATGAGAAAGAAGCAAGGTGTGTGTGGGGGGGGAACAATTCATCAGATAAGTCAAGGTTCTGCCTTCCGGCACCTTCCATTGTCTCAGTTTACTCTCACAGTAAAAGTATTCTTCTACCCAAAGTATTTCCTTAGCTTCCAACCACAGGAAAGGTTCCCCTAAAAGCCATGCCTATTCCAAATAGGGCCCATAAAATATACTCATGGGCATATGAAATAGTCATGCCTTACTAAGATACCAATAAATGTTTGGGACACAGACCATAAAAAAGCATATGTTTATTTCCTAAATCTGTAAGCCAAATGCTCCTTTTGCTGCTACATGTTGACAAAGGCATGCAGAAACCAGGAAGCCAACTCTACAGGATGTGAAACAGCAGCACACAAGGGACATTTTACTATTTCAAATGCTCTGTGTTTTCAAATTACAGACTTGGGATAAGTCTTGATATATCTCTTCCTATTTATATATTTAAAAAACTTATGTCCACCATTTATACATGTGTTTCAGCTATTTTTAGAAAACTTACTCCATTTTATTTTTGGTTTAAAAAGCATTTTGGTATTTTGTCAAAGAAGTACTTCCTTCAATAAAAAAGAAATCTTAAGAAAGCTTAAAACACCAAACTATTTTGAGCATTGTATTATTATATACCCCAATTTCTTCTAGGTGCCCTCAATTTTGCTCAGTTAATAGTAACGACAAGTGGCCCTCCTCTGGGGGTGCAACTGGTTAAAGCACAGCTCTGTGAAGCTGTCCACGGCCACTGTAGCGCAAGTTTGATCCCCAGCTAGGGAGCTGACCCACATGGCTTGGCAGACCGCTCCTGTCTCACCTGCTGCTCCCTTCAGCAGTGAATTTCAGTACATCCACCTGTTCTGCTCCCCACTCTGTCTCTGGTGAATCCTCTCACCCCACACACCTCTGGCCTGTACCCCTAGTTCTTGTGTGCATAAATAAATAAATCTTAAAAAAAAGTAATGACAAGCATACCACTGCTATTCACTGAATAAAAGGAAATTGTGATTCACAGCAAAACAAAATATCCAAGGCAACAAACAGGACCTCAGCCAAACTATTAAGAACAATTATACTAAAAAAAAAAAAAACTTTTAAAGACTGTGTATTAATCTTATGAGATTAAACTGGAAATTTTAAACTATTAAACAAGGTTTCATCCTAGCTACTACAGTAGAGATACCACTGTCTAAAGATAGTGTTAATATTTTGGACACTATGTACAAAACGTCTAAAAGCAACACTTGAAAGAGATGTAATACATTTCATATGCTTTTGACATGGTCCCCAAATCAAATGTAATTCCACTCAAGCAGAGCTGACTTGCAAGTAACAGGTATGACTAATTTTGAAAGAGCACACAGCCATGTCCTACCGGTGTGGAGTAAGAAGTTACTAAGTCCTCGGTGAAACACTATATTCACATACTCAACAGTATACATTAGTGAAAAAATTTCAGTTACAGTAACTTTTCACAAGATTTATTGTCAGAGCTAGTAAATGGATATACTGGGAATTGCTCCATGCCTATTAGGACAAAAAAGCCTCCTAACCAAATGCACAAATCATGCCCTGTTGCATGAGAACAGAATCTTCTAGAAAGTATACTGAATTTTTCAGTTTGTAGAGTTGGATATAACCATGACCTGAGAATCAGTTTTTTGTGAGAAAAGATGAACAGTGGCCCTCCAATCTTAGAAAAACTGAAAATTACACATATTATCTGCAGAATAGTAAACTACAAATAAAATCCTATCAAGCATCATTTTGCTGAAAGGTCCTCCAACTCCTAATGAAGAGTGAAGTTTTAAGCAGGAACTGAGATGCCTGCTGACAATCAAAGACCCATTTGGTAATCAGTGTGATAGAAAACAGACATTTATGGCTCCCAGCTACTACCAAGGGAAAAACTAGTGTAAATTTTAAGAAAACTCACCAGATGTTCTAAAATGTCAGACCTAACAAAAATCACAAAAAAAAAAAAATAGTTACCACATGCTAAGGGCAGGCAGGCAGGAGGAGGTGGCTGAAGATATCCAGAAAAGGAAAACGCTACAAAGATATGGCATATCTTAGGTAATTCAGGTATAAGTGGCAAAATGACAAGAACAGCAGATTACTGACAATTTCTCAGCACATGTAGTTATCAGGCAAAACTATATAACCTTGGAAAAGCATAAAGACTAAGAAGATAGCTAAAGGCTGTAGTAATTAAAATTATTGCATAAAATATCTTTCCATACATGACCTACAAAAGAAAAAATATCAAACTCAACTTGGAAGCTTTTTTTTTTTTTACTTTAGGAAAAAATATAGCCTGTAAGAAGGCAAGATAAAGAGTTGACACGAAATTTCCACTAAAAAAAAAATCCAACTTTCCCCTCTGCTCACAGAACTATCCAGGGCCTTCTAAAAAAGCGTGGATCATTTACAGTCACTAAATTTTTAAGTATGAAGACTATGTGGCAACCTGGAATAATTCATACGTAAAATATGTGGAAAAGCAGAAGACAAAATAGCATGCACCCCTTGATTATAGTAATAGGTAAAAAGATGTAGTGATGGGAAAGATGGGATGAGGTTTTCTTTTTCCTTTTCAAAGATTCTATGTATATTGACAAGTGAGTTTTATAGCTCAAAAGTCCATTTGTAACTATGAGTCTTGGCATTCAAAAAAATTTTTTAATTAAGTTATTCCCTGAAAGACCAAAAAGAGAGAGAGAGAGAGACTGGTTTTTAGCCCATCCTTTTCACTACTCAAATTAAGGAGGACTTAATTTTTTAAAACTTGTATTAATTTACATATTTATTTACATTACTGTTCATTTTGAAGCCTTGTATAGGGCCCTCCGGGATGATGCAACGGGTTAAAGTGCAGCACTCCAAGCCAGCCACTTCAGGGCAAGTACCATCCCTGGCCCCCGGAGGTGACCCCCGGAGGTGACCCACATGGCACTGCAGAACCCTCCTGTCTCCCCGCTGCTCCCCTCAACAGTGTACTTCGTCAATCGGCCTGTTCTGCTCCCCACTCTGTCTCTGGTGAAGCCTCTCACTGCCCCTGCACCTCTGGCTGGTACCCCAGTTCTATATGTATAAGTAATCTTTTAAAAAAAAAAATACCAAAGGAGGACTTTAAATGACACCCTACAAGTGATGAGTTCTACCTGTATTAGTACTTAGAGAGTGCAGACATTCAGATCTGGGATGTTCAAACATTTGCTTTTTTATGTGGAAAAAAAAAAACCGGTCACACCCTTTTGGGAAACTGACATTTTAAGAATGCTTATGGCATTTTGAAAGCTGTCTACTTCGTTTTTCTAAATAGACAAATCAAAAACTGAAAACAAAGCATGGAAACCAGGGAAGTTTTAAGAGGAACCTATGAATCCAACTATTAGCCGAAATTACAAGTTACAAAATTAAAGCCTCTCTTTGGTCTGAAGGAACAGTTTGGCTACCTATAGGCGGCCTGTTCTCCCAGACACCTCTGGACTGAAGCTGATCACCACACGTGCAGACTGTCGCTATTAAGATAATTCGGGGGGTGGGAGTGGGGAGTGGGCGTCCAGCAAAAGACGACAAGGATTGTGGTAATATACATTTTAAATTGCAGTATGCAAGCTGCACTCTCACGGAAGTTGATTTAATGGGTTTAATTTTATCAGGTCACTGCAGGCAAAGCAGTTCTTTATCTTCTCACCATTAGGAACGAAAATTAACCGCCCCCCAGAGATGAAGTCCTCCATACATTTCTCCTGCGGGTCAGAATACTGTGGATCAAAGCGTGGAAGTTGACTATTATAACTGCGTGAGGTCGAAGACCTAGTCTACCTTCCTTTCTCCTGGATAAATCCCTACTTGGCTAACACAAATTTCATTTGAGATGTAAATAGGTAGGCTAGGTCCCTACCTGGTGATTTCCCACCCTGCATCTCCCCGCCCCACCCGTCTGGGCTTCCCGGAGTCTCTATTGAAACAGTAGCTAAAGGTAACTAACGGAGAGGGTTAACCTGGCCGACTCGGAAGACCAGAAAAAGAGTTCTCTGGGTCTGTGGGTTGGGAGGCTCGCTTGGCGGACAGATTTTCCACTGGGTGGGGGTGGGTACGCGGCTGCAGAAGTGCAAAAGCAGTAGGCTCGCCTCTGCAGGCGGGCGGCTGGCTCCGCCACGCTCTCAGCAGGAAGGGGAGGAGAGCAGAAGCAAGAGAACGACAAGAGACAGGCAAGAGCCGGAGGAAGGAAAGAGGGCGGGGCCAGCACCGGGGAGGAAGGCAGGGCCCAGTAAGGGCGGGGGGCGGGGCCAGCGCAGGCGAAGAAGGCGGGGCTAAGGGAGGAGCTGGGGCTCCAGGAAAGCCCGCGCGCCGGCCCCCAGCACCTCCGGGCGGAGTCGCAGACGCGGGCTGGCCCCTCTGCTGCTACCGCGCGTGGTGCGCCCCGAAGGGGTGGATCCGCCCCGTAGCCTCCCTCCGGGTCTCAGGCCCTCCTTCCCCTCCCCTCCCTCCTTTCCATCTCAGCAGCGCCCTCAGTCTCCCTCTCTGGCTCATACAAAAGCAAAATGTCCGCCATCTTCCGAGGCTGCTGCGGCCGTCGCCGCCACCAGCCTGGCAGTCCTGCGGCTTCTCCCCCGGGCTGCCGTTCCCTGACTCCCTCTCTCCGATCTCTGGCGCTGCAGCTAGAAGGAAGCCTCCGCCCGCACCGCTCTGCCCGCCCTCTGCGCCCCCCGCCCCCGCACGCCCCGCCAGGCGCCGCTGGACCACCTGGGGTGGGGGCGAGGGGTTAGCAGCCCCCGGCGACTGGCTCCCGCTTCCCGCCCGGCCCTCCCTCCGATGGCCCCTTTACCTTGAAGCAGTATGGGGGTTCGTCGTAGGTGACCAGCATGTACCTGTCTCCGCGGCTGGCCGGGTCCCGGGCGCGCAGCTGCGGGACGAGGGATGACGGAGGGGGCCGCGAAGGGAAGAAGGGAGAAGGGGGCGATACAAGCGTTACAGAAGCACCCAAATTCCCCACCACCCCCATCCCTCGGGACCTCTTCCCATCTCTCCCCTCCCCTCCCTTTACCTTCAAGAATAATTCCACAGCGCCTTTGGCAATGTCCAAATAGGAGGTGCCCAGGTCAGTGCGCTGGTTCATAGAGGCGGACGTGTCTATGAGGAACAGCAGGATGGGCATCTTCCCCCGCACCCTGGGCGCCGCTTCCCACTCTCCTGGCCCTCTTGCCCTCACTGCCGCGAACCGACACCTGAACCCTCAACTCTCGCAGAGCCAAGGCACAGGGAGCAAGAGGAAGAGGGGGAGACAGGACGGGACGGGACGGATGCAACTGCTCCGGGTCTCCTCTCTCTGCAGCCCCACCTCCTCTCCCTCCAAGGGAACTTGAAAGTGTGAGCGTGTGTAGCCCTCGGGGCCCTCCCCCTTCCTCTCCTGCCACCACTACTGCCGCCGCAGTCACAGGGACGACTGCCCAAGCATCCGTCCGCGCTCACTCAGGCGCTCGCCCCAGAATGAGAGCCGTCTCTGTTCACCGACACACAACTTCTGTCCGCTCACCTACCAGGGCACCATGTGACCAGAACCCACGCCATTGGCTGCCAATTATATGGTATTTGCATATTCATTAGATGACAGGCAAGGGGTGGGGCTTGGGCATGCCCTGGGAGTTGAAGTGTGAACCCAGGCAGGGTAAGGGGAAATGTTCAGGACCCTCTTTAGGATTCTCCTTTAAAGGACTTGGAAGCTGTTCGGATGCTTAGTGTAGCGTGGTTGGATTTTTTTTCTTGCTCTTCAAAGATGATGTGAAAGGAAGAGTGAGCCCGAGCAACAGTTGTACAGAAGCAGATGCTTGGACAGGCTGCACAGAAAATACTTTGCTAACTGCAATCGATCAATCCTGCCAGTGGCTAAGACCAAAACATTTCAGAAGCGGTAAATTTCTTTCCTGGCAAGATTACCCGCATTCCTTTAGATCCCTCCCCACTCTTGATCAGTATTCTCAAGTCAGTTGCTGGTCCTGCATTCCACATAGATCTACTTAGAGCGGAAACTAAAGCATAAACAGTTACCTAAACTAGACTTTTGTATGTACAAACTTCAGTTCCACTGAACTCTGAAGCATTGGCCGGCCTGTGATGATTCCACCACTGTTGTGTCTGTGCAGCTTTTACACGGGGGAGATTTACCACCCTAGATTCTGATTCAACTCACATTTATTGAGCACCTACGAAGTGCAAGGCACCTCTGTTAGCCTCGTTTAATCTTTGAAATGAAATGGCATTATATCAAACTTATAAAGGGAAGTGCAGCTGGGCGCATTAGGTTAACAATGAGCCCCTCTGTGGAGAGGCTCAATCAGTGACCAACCCCCGCTGGGCTGACTGCTCCCTATAAAACAACTTTTAAATTTGGAGGTGTGTGTCCCTAGCAGTATGCTATGCACAACAAGGAATCCTGAGCTTCAATGAGTTTACCGTTTCTCTGAAGACAAAGACTATGCATATATAATATGTTATAGATCCTTTGTGTTATATACACATTCAATAACATTTTCAGACTAATAAGATTTCAATAGAAGCCACATGACAGTAGATGATTTTGGAGCAAATAAGTGAAGCGAATGAAAAGTATGGAATGACAAAGAATGGAAGCAATGATTCTGAGATTTAAAAGTTCAGAAAATTTCATGAATGAGGTAGAAAGGGGAAAGAGAGGAATTCTGGGATGGAAGAAATGATTTGAACTAAAATTCAACCAGTTGTATTTTAGGTCAGTCTGGGAGGAGGGGAGATTAATGGCAAATAAAGATGGAAGAGACACTAGCAGTGTCTGCTTGCACTTGATACAAATATTATTAGAGCTAAGATGCTGCCGGTACAGGATTGGTTGGGGCCAGTTTGTTAGTTTTCTGTTATGGAACAAATCACCATAAATTCAGCAGCTTTAAGAGAGAATACATGTTTATTACCTCACAGTTTCCAGGAGTCAGAGGTCTGAGCACAGTATAGCTGGCTTCTCTGCTTAGTCTCACAAGGCTGCAATCAAAGGGTTGGCTGGCCTGTGTTTCCATTTGGAGGCTCAATTGGGAATCAGTCAGTTTCCAGATTCGTTCAGGTGGGAGGCAGAACTCATTTCCCAGGGCTGGCCACTAGCTAGAGGCAGCCCTCAAGCCAGCCAGCACTTGACGTTTCCTGACACAAGACCCCCTCCAAAGTGTGGTTGTTTGTTGCTTCAGGGCCAGAGGGAAATCTCTCACTCCAGTCTGACAAAATGGAACCCACAGAGTGTAACCTACTTAATTTTGAGTGTCATCCACTGCCTTTTCTACCACCTTTGCCATGTTCTCTTCCCTAGACACAAGTCACAGACTGCACCCACACTCAGGGATTTAACTCCATGGGGTAGAAGTCAAGGGGTATCTAAGAATTCTGCCTAATTCTGTCATTTCGTGGGAATGAGTTTACTGGAAACAAACTTGGCCTAGTTCACAGTTTTTGTTAAAGTCAAGTCCAAGAGATAATAGGCCACTTTCAGCCAACGGATAAATGCAAGGGGTGGATGGACTAGTTCTTTGGTTGAAGAAGTACAGGATTTCCTATTATATCTATTGTGAATATATATGAAACTATTTATGGGCTAGGACATTCACAATTTGTACATGTACATGCGTGTGTTTATGTAGAGAGAGAGTGAGAAAGATTGAGAAAGAATAAGCTCCAGTTCACGATGCTATTTTAAGATGACAAAAAAGAAAAACTTCTCTATACTTACCCAGACTTCTCTGCAATGAGTGTGCCTTTTATAAACATTAAGGATGTATTAAAAATTATACGAAGTATTCCAAAAATCTCTCCAAGGTGAATACTACTGAAACGATTTTTAAAAAATGATTTACTGGCATTAAGGAAGACAATTTTATCAGCAGAAAATAGATTATGTGAAAAAAAGAACATACATAGTATTCAAAACTGATATAGCTACATCATAGAAGCACAAAGGCTTCAGGAGCACAGCTCCGGAGGGGATGCAGGTCCCCAGGACAGCCCTCAGAATAGACGCCCCACTCAGGTGACTGCCTTGATGCATTCATTTAGATTTTCTCTAACAGAGCATGTTATTGATCCTTTTTGGCTTACACACACAGAGAACTGAAATGATGCAAATAAACATAAATCTGAAAAAATGTCAATGTGTTATTATAAAACAACAAAAGTGACAATGTACAATAAATCACCTTTAGGCAGATTTAGGGGTAAAACCCCTAAATTCAGAGTAAAACCACCTCCAACTCCTCAGCATGAAGCCTCTTTTCACTTGCTGGGAGAAAGTCAACCCTATATTACACTAGAGTGGGTATAGACCTCTTTATTGTGTGTCTTTGGCACTGGTCGATTCTAACATTCCCACCTCCCCCACACACACACACTCTTTCTCTACTGCAGAGCATCAGCCGTGTCATGTATAGGTTAACGCGGGCTTTGGATTGTGTCCCCTACTGGAAAGTCAACGCCTGGAGAGCAGGAAGGGCCTAGAACCAAAGCCTGGAGTGAAGTATTTACCCAATTAACGGTTGTTGAAAGAAATCATTGAATATTCTGCGGCTGCCCCTCTTTCATCGTCTTCCAGGGGCTCCTTTCCTTGGGTTCCTCAGCCTGCCTCGTTGCCCGCTGCTTGTCAGGCCCACCTGCACAGTGCCCTGGCCCTGGGCTGCAGGCCCCTTTCCACTAGAGCCCCAAGGTGCTCCTTCAGACCAAGTCCTGGAGCTGAGAACCCCTAGTGGGGCCCTGCAGTTTCCCTTTTATTCCACTCATGCTTCTTATGAAAAGGCTGTCCTTCGATTCTTCAGCCAAATCTGCAACTGCTTCCAAACTGCAGACCCACTTTCACTGCCATGTCTCTGGCCTGTTAACAGAATTCTTTTTTTCTCAGTGCAGCTCTATAACCTGCCCTTACCATCCTGTCTTCTTTCCAGTCTTCTCATGCATTTTAGACTGCTGCGTTCTTGAAATGGATTCTTCTCTGCCCCTCATGTTTCTGCTCTTCATCTCATTTCCTTTCGTTGGTAATCTCTAAATCAATTCACTCTAATGATTCGCCATTTCAGACCTTTCTGCCTCACGTCTGGGGTTACCAGCCATCTCTTGGGAAGGGATCCCACCAAGCACATCCGGAGGCCTTCATTGCCTTCAGGACACCTGGTAGCTCACACTTCATGTAATTGTCCATGGCGTAGTCCGCCGCCAATCCGCGGACCCTGTTTCCGTGAGGGCTGGTTTGACTTCCGACTTTCAAAGATCTGTCGCCTTTCACCTTTAAGCAGGCCCTAATCACCAAGTCTTGAAAAAGACCTTACCTAACTTAATTGCTACTACAGCTCCCCACTCCCACTTTCCCAGCTCGGGGGAGTGCACTTTCACAGCTGGATTTTCTACCCACCAGGCTCTCCTCAAACCCATGCAACCTGGTTTCTCTCCTCAACACTCTTTGGAAACCGCTCTGAGGTTTCCAGGGGCCAGTATCTGGCCAAATCTAATGACCTGTTCTATATTTTTCTTGGTTGACTGAAGAGCCATTTCCCATTCGCCTTTATGAGCTGCCCCTCCCCCACTACCTGGCCTTTCATCACCTGCCACTTCTGGCAGCTTCCTAACCCTTGGACTATTTGCTTTCAGCTTCTCTGACTTAATCTCTGTCTCAGTGCCCACCCCCAGCCACTCCCACAAAGGATTTTGTTATTTCCACGGTCTTTGTTCATTTAGTCAATCTTTCTTTTAGCCAAATATTTCTCTGGTGGACCTTCTGTGTGACAAGCAATGAAAACAAATAGATTTTATAGTTTATATGCCTGGTTAGCAAGAGTAAGCTCTACATAAACATTGAATAAAAGCAAGAATAGATACACTCTATGACCTTGTAGATTACATTCTAGCGGAGAAAATTATCGAGGGAGTAGAAGTGACGTTAGGCTAAGTGCTGAGAGAGGGGAATACATGGGGTTAGGGGAGCAATGAGAGTGAGGAACTAGAGGCGTGAAGAGGGCAGAGATACAGAAAAATGGAAATGTAGACACTGGCCAGATGAGAGGGAGATGGTGGGGTGAGGAATGGTGCAGGGGAGAAGGCAGAGTGTTCAGACAGGAATGCTGAGGTGGGTAAGACAGAAAAATAGATGGAAAGAGACCCAAGAGAAGAAAAGCAAAGTTTCCTATTTCGGGAGCATGGGAGACTGGGAACAGGGAATAGGATGGGAGAGGACGCTAGAGCTGTGCTTGGGGTAGTGAGACAGAGCCATGCGGGGCTACGAGTCTTGCTAAGGAGCTGGAGCTTATTTATTTATTATTTTCAGTAAACTTCAGTT